GGTTTAGGGTTTAGGGCCAAACCTACACCCTGAACCCCAAACTGTAGGGTTTCAGGTTCCTACAGCTAGAAGGAGCAAGCTTCCTGACGTGGACCGACTGTGGAGATTCCTGAAGGCTCCAGACAGGGTTTAGGGCTTAGGGCTTTGGGTTTAGTCTCTACGATGCCCAACACCCTAAACCCCAAAACCCTACAAGCCCTATACCTTGATTGTTCCGTTCAGTGCTTCGGACCTGTCGGTTGCGTTTTACTCCGGGGCCTAGTCATTGGGTCGATATACTTATGCTTATTCTGTTACAACTGATGACCCTATGTGCTCTTAACCGTTAGCAGCAAACCATATACTGGGCAAAACCCCAAACCCTAAACCCTGAGCCCGACTTGACCTTGAGCGAAACTCTAGTCACTTACTGCCCCCTAAACCCTAAACCCTATAAACCCTAAACCCGAAGCCCTAATGCCCCAAGTCCCCTCTGGGCTGAGCTGCCTTTTGGGCTGCCTTTTGGGTGCCAGGTCCTCTCAACAGATGTTCCCGCCGCTTTGGAGAGTCTGAGCCAGCACCCCGGTGGCTCAAGGGCTGAATATGGGAGTTTCCGAAAACAAGGGGTACCTTATTTTGGGGTCTTTATAATAAGGATCCCACTACTTAGGATACTACATTAGGGTCCCCTATTTTCGGAAACCCCCATATAGACGTCCAAGTAATGATGTCCCTACTGCAGAGCCCTAAACCCTAAACCCTGAACGGTAACAATACAACAACTGCAATAACTACGACAGTAGCTACAATGCAAGAGCTGAGATGAGTTGGGCCCGCCTTTGGGGAATTTCGCCGCGATGTTCCGGTGTTGAGATTCTAAGGGCTTCTGCAGTGGGTTTTGGGGCCTGCGCTGTTGGCTTTAGCTCTGGGGTTTCAGGCTTTAGGCCGTTGGGCATCTTAGGGTTTAGGGCTTTAGGGTTTCAGGGTTTTAGGATTTAGGATTTCAGGGTTTTAGGGTTTTAGGGTTTTAGGGTTTTAGGGCTTTAGGGTTTTAGGGTTTTGGGGTTCATGGCATTGCCCAAAATCGTGACGTGGCATGCTACGTCAAATCGCGCAGGGAGCTGGTTTGAATAACTGTACGGATGAAGACCTTTCCGCATGATGATTTGCAGGCTCTGATGCCTTCGCCAGCATGAAGGACTGACCGGAGTAGACGTGCCGGCATTCTCCGATGCCATGCCTCAGTTTGACGTTGTAACGTAGCTTCTCTCAGTATTTCCAAGCCTTAGAAAGGAGCATGCCCCTCTCCGATACTGCTGCACTACCACTGATTCTAGTGTCATGAATCCGCGCATTGGCGTGAATCAACGGGCGAACATACCGGTTAACTCTTTATGACGAGGGCCCTACGGTGAGTATCAGGATTGTCGGAATTCCAAGCCCTAAGCCCTAGACCCGAAATCGTAAACCCGACGTTTCAATCGCGTAAACCATAAACCCTAAACCCTAAAGCCTAAACCCTAAGCCCCTAAAGCCCTAGACCCGAAATCGTAAACCCGACGTTTGATTCCGCGTAAACCCTACACCACGACTGCCTTCAAGTCCTCAACCAGAAATACAGAAGACCCACGCCTTGAAAACCTCAGCCCTGAAATACTTACTACACTGCTAACACCGATGAGACACTTTAAACAATTTCAATTTCAGCCAGCTTTAGGGTTCAGGGCTCAGGGATTCGGGTTTCGGGTCCAGGGCTTTAGGATATAAGGCTTCGGGTCTAGAGCTCCGGGATTAGGGTTTCGGGTCTGGGGCTTTAGGGTTTAGGGCTTCGTGTCTAGGGCTCAGGGATTAGGGTTGAGGGCTTTAGGGTTTAGGGTTTAGGGCTCAGCGATTAGGGTTTCGGGTCTAGGGCTTTAGGGTGTAGGGTTTCGGGTCTGCAGCTCCTGGATTAGGGTTTCGGGTCTAGGGCTTCAGGGTTTAGGGCGTAGGGCTCAGGGATTAGGGTTTCGGGTCTAGGGGCTTTGGGTTTAGGTTTCGGGTCTGGGGTATGGCTGGAAGTCAACAAGTGCTTGGGAGAGGCTTCAGCGTCCAAAGTCCTGTACCCTGAGCAGAGCTTCAACACTCGAGGGATGTGGTTGCGAGCAATCGTCGACATCATTTCCCCGGCTCGGTACCCTACAACTGGACGACAATCCGGGATGGATTCCCTAAACCCTAAACCCTAAACCCTAAACCCTCCTCCGGGACGGAGCTCTCCAGACGTTGCCTAGTCGGCCCAGGCAGCTCCTGCAAAATGGACAGAACCCTAAACCCTAAACCCTAAACCCTAAACCTTAAACCCTAAACCTTAAGCCCTGGCTACGGCTCAAGCCGTATTGCTCGAAAACTGATTTGACGTTTACCTCGGGGCCCTTTCTCCGCTGGGCGATTGCGTCGGGTTCCCAGGGGACGAGTTGGAGGAGTTGATCCGGGTCCTGCCTTTTTACCTGTTTCTGCGCAAGTTGACCGCTGGGGGCCATCACTGTGGGCGACCGCTACCTGTTTCCGAAGGGCGTCTTCGCTGGAGTGGGCTGCTTTCCTCCGGGGCGAAGTCTCAGCAACGTGAGTGATCGCTATCTGCTTTTGGAGGGTGCCTTCGCTGGGATCTTCGCTGTCCTTCCTTGAGAGAGAGACTTCGCTTGTCTGGGATCGACGATGACGGAAACCCAAATGGCGGTCGAAGTGCCCTCCCCCACGGAGATCGCGGAGGGTGAGTCGGATGCGGATGACCTTGTCGAGCCCAAACAAGAGAGGAAGAAGCGAGGGAGAAGTGCCGTGGCCGTCAGAGGAGTTCCGACCGTGCCCGGAAGTGAGCTCGAGGATCCAGACCTTGACAGTCCTTCCAAGCGACCATCCCGGAGCAGCGGGGACGATGTGCCGATCACAGGTCGGGAACTTCGAGAGATGCTCCAGCAACATGCTCGTGAACTTCGCGACGCCTGGGGGACCTTTGAGAACAGGATCGTGCAGGTCGAGACGACTCAACGGAAACAAATCGGGGAGCTGAGCTCCCTTACGGGGAGGACAAAGATCAATGAGAAAAACATCAGGGACATCAAGACCAAGAGTGACACCACCGTCTCTCGACTTGACACCTTGACGGAGGACGTGAAAAACCTTAAGGTCCAGGTTGAAGCCGCCTCCTCATCTCGGCTCGAGCCCAACATGCACCAGGCCGTCAACAGGTCGGCTGATCCATGGGCCGAGTTCCTCCAAAACCGTTCACACAGAGGAGGGAATATGTCTGGTCTTGTCTCTCCAGCAGGTGCAGGGGTCGGACCAGTTGCCAATGTCCAGAGCGAGCCGGCGGAAGGACAAAGTTTGTCTGAGGATGAGAAGAGGACCCTTGTGATAGGGGGCTGGCTCCAGGACACAAAACGTGGGACGATCGAGACCGAGGCCCTTCCTCTCCTCCAGAGGGATGACATCAAGCCATTCTTGGACGTTGAGAACCTCTCGGTGTACGGACCAAGACGCAGTGTGGGGATGATCAAATTCAAGGAGCGAGCGGACGAATCCTATGCCCAGGTGAAGGACAGAATGTGGAAAGTTGTCAAGGCCATCTCTGGGGCGAAGTACACACTTGAAAGCACGAAGTCCACCGGGGATGATAAGATTGCCTGGGCGGCGTTCATGAAGACCAAAGCTGCCCGATTGAGAACCAGCCACATCTCGATGATCCGTCGCGTTGCCTGCGCTTTGGCGGCCGACTCCAAGGACGACCAGGGACGAGCGCTCAACGTTGAACACGCCCAGCCAACATTCTACGACATGGATTGGTCAGCGGGGACGATTTGGGGAGGCATCCACAAGCTTGGCTCGGCCACCCATCGGGCCCCTAAAAACATGGAGACTATCAACATGAGTGGTGGCTGGATCAACTTGGAGGCCGTCGGGTTGGTAGCTGGCTGTTCGCCGGAGGTTGCGAAAGCAGCCTTCGAGCTTGAGCTGTGACACCCTAGGCAATCTTCTTTCACCCCTCCTTCACCGTCTGTTGACCAACATGGACGACGTGATGGTGGCGGGAGGACCTTTTCGAATTCGAGCCGTCCTTCGCAGTCAAAGACTCGATCAATTACGGCTCCTCGACAGTGTGCAAAACATCGTTGGGGAAAACTTCTTCAGTGGAACCTTGCTGGACAAAATATTAACAAACTGGATGTGGCGGCAATGGAGGCGGATCTGATCTTCGCTCAGGAAATTGCCAGGGACAATGCAGGATGGGATGAAGTTGACACCGAGGCTTTCCACTGGATTACACATAGGAGTGAACAACACTGGCGGGGTGTGGGCATCGGCATCTCCATTGACAAGTTCGACTCGCTGATTGGCAAGATTGCAAGCACAAGAGGCATGTGGCTACTCGTTCGTCTTCGAGGTCTTGGTCGAGTGGTTCTGGGATCGTTTCATGCGCTGACAGGTGTCACAAATGCCCAGTACCAGCGTGCGGTCTTGCAGTTCTTCAGGACCTGTCCGCGCAAGTGGCGACAGTATCCACTCGCCTGTGGAATCGACATGAACGAAGTACCAACATGGGTTGCACATGACACAGACGATGAAGCGAGCTTGGGATCATCCTCCTCGAACCTCAACTACCTCGCAGTTGAAGCAGAGAATATTGGGATGAAAGCAATTGCGCCGAGAGTGGCGCAGCGAACCATGCCCACCCACTTCCCGAGGGACGAGAGGAGGACAGGCCGTCAGATCGACACTCTGTGGGTTCGTCAACTTGACTGTCGCACCGTCCTGATTGATGCAGCTCGACGTCACACAATTGGTAGCGACCATGCTGCACTGTGGGGCGAAGTCTACGTCGCCGGAAAATCAGTCTATGAGTGGGGCAATGACTCGCGGCCGCGATGGATGCTAGGCCCACCACCACGTGTGCAACTTAGCTCCGTCGAGGACATTGTCACACTCGCGAAGACTTCAACGGGACCAAGACGCCCCTCCTCGTACACCGACCCCCAGGAGATCAAGACGATGATTGCTGCCGCTCGCCATTCAGGGAGTAAGGAGACGTGGAAACGTGTACATTGTGGACGCCGACGTGCCCGCAGACAATGGCAGGCCGATCGCATGAGCAAGATCCTCAACGGGGACTGGAGTCAATACAGAGCCCTCCAGAATGAGAAAAGAAGGAAACGCGGGTGGTGGGGTGGACTTCTCGAATCCGCTTCGTCCAAGGAAGTCACAGAGAAAGTCCAGCAGCACCTGCGTGACAAGCTCACGAACCCATACCTCTCTGACTGGGACGAACTTCTGCAGGAGCATATCGACTCTGTACGGGGAGACCATTTTGAGCCCTTCACGCTCATTGACATGCGGACACAGGTGCAGAACATGAAGGTCAACAGCGCAGTTGGGCCAGATGGGATTGGAGTCCACTTTCTTCGGACGATTGCCTCGGATGATGATTTGGGCCCCCAGCTTCTCGCGGTGATCAACCACATCGTGGAGAACCTGGACATGCCAACAGATTGGGAAGACAGTTTCTTGGCGCTTCTCGCAAAAGTTGACCGTCCAACGAAACCCAAGGACCTAAGACCGATCTGCGTGTCGTCAGCATTCCACAAGCTCGTGAACAAAATGGTCTGTGAAAGATGCATGCCCTTGCTGCGTCACGGATCCCGAATCTCTGGCTGCGGAAAAGGACGCCAAGCGGCTGACGTGATAGGATCAGTCAGCAGAGTTCGGGACGTGATCCATGAATGGAAAACCCCTGCACTTCTTTGCAAGTTGGACATTTCTGGAGCATTCGACCGCATCGACCGCCTCAAAATAGTGGAGTACCTGAAAGCCCACTTCCCAGTGGAGGAGGGCCCGTGTGAACTAAGATACATGCTCGCCCAGCTACGTAGCTTTCGTCTCAATGGACAAGTTCCGGGAGGACAGGCCATCACTCTTGAGCCGAACATTGGCATTAAGCAGGGCGCACCAGAGTCTGCAGAGATTTTCGGCCTGGTTATGGACAATATCTTGACCACCCTCACGGAATGCAGAGGATGGAAGGCCTTCGGCGCGCCACTGGAAGGTTTGGACATGTCATTGATCTTCTACCAGGACGACATTTTTCTGTTGGAGAACCAGCTAGGCCGACTTGGCAAGCGAGTGAATGTCCTCGCTAGGCTTCTTCAGCGAAGTGGCCTCATCCTGGCG